TTTCGGCACGCTCGCGTACAGCGTCGCCGACCAACCTGACCGCATCAGCGATGCGAAGTTTGAAGAACTCATCAAGAAGGTCTTCGGGGCGGCAGAGCCGACCTTAGGCACCAAAGCCGCAGCGCGGCGCCTGGCCTTCGAAAGCCTCACCTTCAGCATCCAGGACCTGAAGATGAGGGTAGAGGGTGACAGTGTCACCCCCAAGAGTCTGCCCCTGCACGAGCGCGAGGAGCGCCGCGCCGCGCAAGTCGCGCGCCTCCGGGGCGTTGTCATCGAAGGTGACTACGACCCCGCGCACAGCCTCGTGGACAAGGCCGCGCTCATGCTGCAGGACGGCATCGTGCGTTACATCCCGCCGTCGCAGTGCGTCAGCCGGGATGCCGAAATCGCCTCAGTGAGGCGTGACAAGGACTTCCTTTCCCTAGAGTCTGGGGAAATCACAGTAAAGAAAAAGGAGCACAGCGTGCACGTCGAGATCGGCAATGAGCTAAAGCTCACGCAGGCGCTCACGCGCCGAGGTCTCGCGCTCGACAGAGTCGGCGTGTTGGATTTCACGATTCACGAGAGACTCGTGAGACAGTTCTTCTCCGTCCTGAACCGGCCAGCGCCGCCGGGGATGGAGCGCGGTAACAGTTGGCACGTAGTACGGGCCGATAAAGAACTGTGGACGCTGCTCGCGCGAGAGTGTCGCAAGGGTTGCAAACCGGACAAGGATGGTAAGAGGCCACTAGATTCTCTAGTAGAGAACATGTGGTCCGATCCGATTGTCACGCTGCACCTGCTCCCCTCGCCAGTGGCGGACAGGGGTCGCAAGGGCAAGGGCCGCAGCTTTCCGCGCAGCGAAGAGGACCGCAGTCGTAGCACGACCGGCAAAGGCAAGAAAGGCGGCAAGAAAGGCCGCGGAAAGGGCAAGGGCAAACGGCACGAGAGCGCAGACCGCTCCAGGCCGCCGAGCGTGCCCAAAGAGCTCCGCCACTTGAACAGCGTCTCCAAGTCGGGCAAGCGCCTCTGCTACGGTTTCAACCTGCAGTGCGGGTGCGACCTGGAGACCTCCGGATCCCCCAAGCAGTGCGACAGGGGGTTGCATCAGTGCATGAGCTGCGGCAGCACCGACCACGGTGCCGCAGATTGCCCCAAGAACGCAGGGGCCGCCTGACTAGGCACCCCTGCCCTGAGCGCGGCAGAGCCGCAACAGCCCTCGGCCACTGCGCCCGCAGCTCCTGGCCCAGCAGCGCTGGGCCTCTCTGCCACCTCGCCAAGCGCAGGGCAGAGCCCTGAACCCCCTACCTGTTGCCGCACCCGCCTGCAACAAGTAAGCCAGGATGTGCCACAGCTGCGCCGTCGCCTGGCGCAGGGTTACCGGCAAACGCCGACCCCCCCGCGCTCCTCTTGTCGGAACAGCACAGCGTGCCTGCAGACAACGCTCCGGGAGTTCCTCTCCCTGAGCCCGTTCCGAAAGCGACCCCTCGGCCGCCACTGTTTGTGGAAGTTTTCTGCGGCCTCGGTCGCCTTAGTAAGGCAGCCATCGAGAAAGGCTTCTCGAACGTCGCAGTGGATCATAAGACGAAGGCCAGAGGCCTCAAGGTCCTCCAGCTCGACCTCTGTACGCAGCTGGGTCGCAACCTGCTGAGGGCAGTGCTCTCACACCAAGACCTGAGATGGGTCCACTGGGCCCCGCCGTGCGGCACCTTTAGCAGAAAGCTTCTCGGCTCTAGCGTTGTTTTCTGTGAGTGTGGGTGGGGTAGGTAGGGGCGGGGTAGGAGGCATCGGCTGTCCGGTGTCTCGTTGCCATAGGGACTGTGGGGCGCGCGTTGTTGGACCCCCTGTTCTCTTTTTCCGGTAAAGTGCGATTCAGCCGCGGTCTCTTTTCAAACTGGTCAGTGGCTTGCTGCTTCTTTGGCTGGCCCACGGTTTTACAAAATTCCGCTGTCTTCTGCACTGCATATCCGGGCTTTTGCGCTTGATTTATTGGCAGACGAGCTTGTATTTTCGCCTTTTTCTGCGCAAATTTTGCAACTGGCTACACTGATCTGGGCAGACCTGCCAGCGCTTGACACCTTGGAGTGGGCTATTGAAGTACTTCCGCGGCCGTCTGCATTACAACTGACAAGCTGGACCGCAGTACACTATCCTGACGTATACAGTGCCTTTTTGGAACGTTTACAGCTTGCACATCACCCGACTACATTGGTACAGTGAACAATATGTGGTCATTGCCATTGACTGCTTTGGTACTGTGCAGCTTGCCGACGTTTCTTCGCGATGTTCCCCAGGCCAGCTATTCTTCGATACTGGGCTCCTATACAACAAGGCAGCAGCCATGTATTCGATCAGGTAGACTGCAGCTACTACATCAGCCTCCGATTTGGTCAGCGCCCTATGATTCTTCTCCAGCATCATGGTCATCAGCTTCACTATGTATCAGGCCGGACGACGGCAACCATGCTCTACCACGAACTGGAATGAGGTGGCCGTTCCCTCTACCATTATTGGAGTCGACCTTGAATTTCTGGCCTCTTGCAAACAGGTGGTGGTACATATCGTCAGCTCATCAGGCATGCTCTGGCAGAGACATGGTATTTGCTACCGTACAGCTCTCCCTATGCTCACGATCAGGCCATCAGCGGATTCGGCAGATCCAACATTTCCTTCAGCCTTGGTCAGTGCCTTGTAACCTTCCAATGACTGTCTGGGCTCTGCTGTGCTTCAGGTCGGATGATGGCCTACATACTCGACGGTACACAACTACGAGATGGTGGGGGCATGTATTGGATGCTATTCCGGTCTGTGCTCCCTTCTGTTGTGGCTCAGGTCAAAGCCCTATGCATGATTTCAGCCGGTGTCTTCGCGATATATGGCCAAGGCCCCAACCGGGACGCATTTCTTGCATTTCTCGCCTGCCTGCAGCTCTTGATGTGTCGTGCATGATCCGTTTCTGTGTTCCAATGCAGCTGCGAGCTCTACCACAAACGGCAATATGCTGGGTGTATTCATGGTCATTGCAATATATCGATGCGTACATACATACGTTCTGTGGTGCTGTAACTGTTGCCGATCGACCCCTAGTCGGAAGTAACCTCCATCTGCCGGTGCATGGGCCTGTTGGTTTCTCTCCGTCTCTGACGGCGAGACTGCTGAACGTCACTCCACTATGCACTACATGCAAGACCCAGTGTACATGGACGGAGTCTCTCGCTTATCAGGTCCGCCCATTGCCGATTGTGAGGTCCGAGCTTTCTCACACTCCATGTACCAAAAACGCCTGGCAGATGCGGATACAATGCACCGTCCCGACCTGGCCACGCATGATCTCCGCATGGCAGGACGACACGGCGAGAACTTATGGGTACTGGTATTCAGCTGTGAGGCTACGACTCCGGGCAGGTTTCAAGAAGAGTGGCAGCGACAGTTTGGACAGACTTATCAAGAGTCTTATTTGGCGCGGTTTGGCAAAAGTCCTTGGCTGTGTCCAGATTAGTTTGTACATGCAGCCTGTTGCAGTGGGCTATACTCTATATGACGGTATCGGCCGACGTACAGAAAAATCGCTGCTACGGTTCTTGACACGCTCCTGTACCTTCTGTTTGATTTCTATACAATCATTGCTGCCTTCTCGATATGCTACCCTGCCAGGTCGTATGAGCCACTGCTTTCCGACAATCAGGCGATGGTGGTGGTGTTTACTGTCTGCTATTCCAGCTGGATACTTTCAGATTGAGGCTTCAGCAAATGCGCGGCACTCCGCACACACGTACTCAGGTCCTATGCTGGTTCTGCATCAGCCTTCGCACCGGTCTGTGCAACGATCTGGGCCTTGTGCCCATTTCTCTACCGGGCCACAACGAGAGTCTCTGTCACCCACATGCGATCACCCAGGTCGGCGAATCTCTCAGGTGTGGCTTTGGCCTACACTGGTCCGGGGCAGGCTCGATCTTTCATCATGTGCTGTCTTCACAGGCCTCAGCGTCCCAGCAAGCGTCCCATCTCAAGGTCTGAGGATGCCTATGATTATGGACCCTGGCCCACACCCTGTGACTGCCTTCTTCACTGTGCTGCTGTCCATTGCTCACTGCCCAGGTCTGTGGCAAGCCGATTCTATCAGCCGATGCCAGCAGGCTCGACTGCTTCAGCACTCACAATGGTCAGATGTGACTCGCGGTGTGCAAGCCCTTGCACCTATACGTTCCGACTTGCATGTTGCTGTTTGCATCTGGGATTACAGCGGTTGCTATGGCCAGTATGTACACAATCAGGCCCTACAACGGTATTGTCGATTCCTGCATTCTGTGATATATGTCATTTCGGAACACAGATGGTGGTGCTGGCCATACTTATTCCGTGTAGCCTTAACGAGCAGAGTTGAACCATTTTGCGTGGTGCTTACAAGCATGGGGAGAGATTCTCGCGGCGCTCCGAAGCCTCATGACTCTGCCGACATAGTGGAACCTTTGGCGAAGCGGGCACTCGTTTTGCATTCACACTCAGGAGTTTCACTCGCAGCCACTGGTTGACCAAGCACGTCTTCGCGAAAAGGCAGATACTGCCGGGCGCCCTGGGCTGGGAGTTCAGGGTCTCTTGAGTCCTTTCTTTCGGGAGTTTCCTCTTCGAACTTTTCTTCTAGTTGGTAGCGGAGCTCTGCTACGAGCAGGGCGATGATGCTACGTAGTGTAGGAGTCCAACTGAGCCTAGGGTTCATGGTCCTCCTTTGCGGGTTCCCAGTCTGTGGCAGTGACTTTGCGCCGGGGCTCAGAGCCCAGCCCAAAGTCACTGCCTCGGATGGGTCTGAGCCCAGCCGCACAGAGCCCCAGCCGGATGGTGGCCTACAATCGACCCCACAAGGCAAGGCCTTTGGAACAACGTTGGTTTCCCGCCTCCATTCAAGGACTGTGGCTTATTTACTGGTAGCAGTCAGCGCAGCTTCGCTTTTTGGAATGATGTTTCAGCCAGCAAACCCGGGACAGGTTGTCAACATGAGATTGCCTCCAAGGTGGGACCCGGCTATGGAGTCTAGCCTTCCCTTTCGCACATGGATGCAGGATCTCATGTTATGGACTATTTGCACGGATATGGAACCACACCAGCAGTGTGCAGCGATCATTAGTCAACTGGGTGGGTCAGCTAGAGAGTTGGCGAGGACGATCACACCTCAAGAGGTGTACCATGGCGGTGTGATCAATGGCCGCCAACTTGATCCGGTGAGTTACCTGTTGCACGGGCTTTCCACGCGATTCGCACCATTGGACGAGGAGACACGATTGCGTGCAGCACAGGACTTGTTGGCCTTTGGCAGGCGGCATGGTGAGACAGTGGATGCTCTGGTCTCGCGTTTTGAGATCACTCGTCAGAGGGCGCGCACAGAAGGAGGAGGTGCGCTCAGTGTCGAGACGGCGTCCTTGTTGCTTCTCCGAGCTTGCGGCGTGAACTCGGAACAATTTCAAGCATTGACGCAGCCCTTTGGCCTGAGGATGCCAAGTACTGAACAGGAGTATGCCCAGATGTGCCACCATCTACGCCGCATGGGGCACATCGTTGAGCGGCATCCGAACAACATAGCATCCGGGCTTCGAGGGCACTCTTCTGCTCACCAATCTTTTCTTGCTGAAGCCGACACTGGCTCTTCCGGGACGGGCGAGCAGGCTACATACGATTGGCCATCAGCAGGCATGGGCGCTTGGTCTTCAGCCGAGTCAACTGATTGGGCCTTTGCTGCTATGCAAGTAGAAGGTGCGTCAGACACCGACACGGGCACCTCATCTGACAACGATGAGCCTATGGATGTCAGCGACCTTCAAGGTATGAGCACCTCGGCCGTGGACGAATATTTGTTCGGTGAGTACCAGAACGCTAAGCGCCGTTGGCGCCGGTTCACGGGGAAACCTGTTAGGGCACTTAGAAGGGTCATTAGGCGTAAGGGCAAGGGCAAGGGCAAACAGAGGAGTTACGTGAACCTCAACGAGCTCTTCCAGCAGTCTGCTTACTTCAAGGGTAAAGGTAAGGGCGGTCCTAGTTCGGGGAAAGGTTTCGGTAGGAAGCTTAACCCTCGTGGCCGTGACGGTGAACCCTTGAAATGTAGTACATGCGGCTCCTCTTACCACTTGCGTGCCCGCTGCCCACGCAGGCCTAATGCCCCAGCAGGTGATCAAGCTCAGGCTTCAGGTGCCAGTACCAGTGCGCAGCCAAGCCGATCAGGACCAGCGTTTACAGTTGAGGCCACTGCAGGCCTACACTTCGCTGCCTTTGGATCTGATGGTTCGTGGTCACACCTTGATACCCCAAGGTCTATGGCTTCATCCTTTACTCGGGTAGCGCCCTCCACATCTTCTGCACCCCACGGTCCTAGATTAGAGTCGTCCAACAATGGTGGTACCGAGCAACAGGCCCCCGTAGATCCTACTTCGTCTGGGCAGCGTCAGCCACCAGAACAACATGAGCTATCGCCCGACCCGTGGGTGACGCAACCTGATCCTTGGATGCAGTGGATGCATGATGAATCCCAGCAAAGTCACAGCAGTGCAGCGGACCACGCGCCTGCAAGTGCTAGCAGTGCAGCGGCACGCGCGCCTGCAAGTGCTGGAGGGCAGGATCAAGTAGGTCTTAGGGGTAGCGGTTGGTTTCTTCCGGGAATCGGTGATGTAGGTCCGGCCCAAACCTTCGCCGATGCTTTGGACTTCAACCGAAATCCTCCACCACCGCTTGCGTCCGCTCTGACTGTCAGCACACCCGGCTGGTTCCAAGACACGAGTGTAGCTATGCAAGCAGCACAGGAGGCATCAGCTAGCATAAGGGCACCACGTGACAACAGAGCGACTGCGTCGAGCCGACGGTCGCCCTCAGTACCATCGGTGTTTGCTTCAGGTCTACAGCTTCCATCTGGTTTGTTTCCCAGCGCAACAGACTACATACCTCAGCCACCTGGAATGATTGTGCCTTCTCAGATCACTCCGGACGCTGCCGAGCCGTCTGCAAGCTCAGTGTCAGTGTTCGGCCAGGTGCATGCTTTGAGGGCTGGCGCGAGAACTTCCCAATCACAGGGACAAACCGCCGTGGAGGCACCCTTGAGTCGACAGGAGCATGCGCCTGCCAGGTCTTTCCATGGGCACGTCGCCTCGTGCACAGTATGCCTTGAGGATTTTCGGCCGGGTGACCATGTTTGCCGATTGGAGTGCGGACATGTGTTCCATTGTATGTGCCTTGGTGAGCTGGCGGTTCAAAATGGAGCCAGCTTTGATGAGTCGGGACAAATGGCAGTGGAGTGCCCCAACTGCAGGGCCCAAGCATCAGTGATCCGATCATGGCATTACCCCACTGTTGCACTCTCGACAACATCTACTACCCCAGGAGCTCCAGAGACTCAGGTTCCACCTGATCATGCTGAGCAGCTTCCCGCAGCCGATCCTGAGCCGAACATGACTGACCAACCGAGTGCACCCAACACACCACAACATGCCAGCCTCCAGGCAACGCCAGATCAGTCTCCGGTGGCCCGAGAGGAGTTTCATACTCCTGAATCAGCTTTTCCGTGGTGGCCAGTAGTGGATCATAATGTGCAACCGGCTTCATCGTCAACCGCTAGTAGTGAGTCCTCCACAACAGCGTACCACTCTGCTGTCCGTTTGCCGAATGGGCGCATCGGTTTGCTAGTGGATCCCGGTTCCTACGGTAACCTAGTTGGGGAGGGTTGGTTGGCTGAAGCAGCTTCTCGCATGCAGCGCGTGCCAGCAATGCACAACAGGTCATCGCCATTGCAAGTTGGTGGCGTAGGAAAGGGAGCACAGCAGTGTGCCCAGGACTGCCAACTGCCAATCGCATTGCCCCGTCAGGACGGTAGTGTAGCTACTGGTACATTCACATCGCCAGTTGTTGTCCAGTCTGGATGCCCAGCGCTGCTGGGATTGCGTGCTTTGCAGGATCGGCAGGCGATCCTAGATTGCCATCGCAAGGTCCTCCACTTTCCTGCGGAGGGTGAAGTCACTTTGGTTCTTCCCCCAGGCTCTGAATCCTTTCAATTGGAGTCTGCTGAGAGCGGGCACTTGCTGTTGCCGTGTGATGCTTTCGAGCGAGTAGCCCCAGGCTCAATCAGAGGCGAACAGCATCTGTATGCCGGTGACGAAAGCATCAACTGCCAGCCGGATCAGGATGTGCCATTGCACATGCTCACCATGCATGACAGCACAACAGCCCAAGTTGAAGAAGCAGCATGCGCCTCAGCTTTGAACAATTTTTCCTTTGACTTTGCAGCTGAAGTACTGGAGCAGCTCGCATCAGTCTGGGTTGAGTCCTCAAGTGCATCGCAAGAGCGTTTTGGAGGGCACTCAGGCATGAGCAAAAGTTTCGGCTTGTACACCCACGGTGGGATCGTTGGTGTGAGCAACGTTACTGAACAACGTCCTGAATTGGCCAGGCTGTTGAGTCGGATGATCACACACACAAGTGACCTGCCTTTCACTTCAATCATGCTGAGCATTGATGTGCCTGCGCCAATGCACAGGGATGTGTTCAACTGCAGCGCCAATGTCCTGGTGCCAGTAGTTCTGCCCCCTAAGGGTGGGGGCTTATGGTTGGAGTTGCAGCCTGGTGACACGGTCGTAGGTTCCATCGAGGTCAAAGCTGAAGGAGCAAACCACATTGCAGGACAAGTTATGCCTCTGACGATTGGTGTGCCTTGTGTGTTCAATCCCAAGAAGCGACATGCAACCCAGCCGTGGAAATCCGGACACCGAATCACTCTCACTGCTTTCACCACAGGCAGCTACTGGAAAGCCGAGACGAAGGCCAAACACAGGCTCCAGGAGCTTGGCTTTGCAGTTCCTGGAGATCATCAGCTGCGACCTGAACCAGCTGACAGGGCCCAGAAGGGGGTCGTGCCGCAAGGAGTGCAGCATGTGCATGCAAGCCATGATCCGCAGCCCGATGGCACCCCAGCCACGGCTGCAAATTTCATCACGCCAGCTGTGTCCAACACTTCACAGCCACCGCCATTGCCTCTTGCACGCCCGCCTTCAAGGATGAACCTGCTGCGCAAGGTGCTGTTGATTTCAGTCTTTCACTCCACATTCCTGGCCTTTCAGGAGCAGAACTGGAGCCCAACACGTCTTAGACCAGTTGAGCTCCTCCGTGCAGGATTCGACGATGTGCTCAGCAAAATGAAGCAATCAGAATACGAATCATTTTGGGTTGATCTCACCGATGCTCGGCAATTTGCTGGGCAGGAGAGAACTTCACAAGTGATGTCACGCATAAGTGTGTTGGCAAGCTGGGCCACTCGTCAGTCCATCCCTGTTATACTGTCAGCCAGTCGCAACAATGCATGGGAACATCCTTCTGTGCAAGAGCTGCTGCTGCGCCACAAGTTTCACGAAAGCACACATCGTTGGTGCTCGTTCGGCGTCAAGATGTCTTCCTCAGTCCCTGCAAGTGCAGCTCGGCACAAGGTGTTGAGCACATGTAAGCTACCGAGTCACCCGTGCAAATGTGATCGCACAGTCGACCACATCTACGACTTAGACATGAACCGAGGTGATGCAGGGACCGCCAAACTGCGCGCTGAGGCTGAGCGCCGTGTGATTGTTAATGTTATCGCCACCCTGCCTTCGGCAGCGGCTACCGCAGCCGGGCCAGGGTCCTCAACATCGACCGACTCGTCTTGCATTCCATTCGCGAGTCAAGCCCATCATTTGAACGCAGAACGTACAGGTGGTGTCAGTCAGGAAAGTCTTGTTATGACCCCAGACTCGTTCAGTGATGCCAGTCGCCTCCCCAAGCAGCCTCCCGCACAGTCAGCTGCTAGGAAGGTACGAATTCAATCGCAACCACAAGAAGCCATACCACCAAGTGGTGATCTTCATGCAAGCTTTCCCACGGATCAAAAGATCAAGCAGCGCATGCGCGCTAAAGCACTGAAGGAGTCAGGCCAAGAGCCGGATCAGGCACGTAAGCGCCGCAAACCTGTAGAGCAGCACTTTGATGATTGCGGTGAGGATCTTAGTAGTCTACATCTGCCCGAGCAAGTAAACCTACTAGTTGAATCTGCTGCTGGTAGCAGTTCAGATGCCGAAGAAGAAAATGCTCGGAGCATCGTGCCAACAACAAATGCTTTTGTACAGTGGGCCATGGCCAGCAATTTGCAGGCAGGACAGCCACCTTTGCATAAGAATTCAATCCTTGCTGTAGATATGGAAGAATTGTCTTCCATCCTGAGTGAACCAGCTTACGAATCATATGGACCTGAAATCGTTGAGATCTGTGGCAGCAATGCCACCGCATCATACATGTGCATACGGCGGTGTCTGCAGACCGGCCGATGCTTTGAACTCACCACATGTGTGGATCTTGCCGAGCCACGTGTGCAAAACCAGGTTATGGCGTACCTCAACTCAGCCAAGCCCATGATCATCATCATGAGCCCTGTTTATGCCGTATCTGGGCTGCCAGCTCAGCGCAACCACATCAACCACGGCAATGCGTGGAGCAGTGACTTTGCAACAAATGTGTCAGTCGCAGCCTTCTGCGGCCAGGTAGCCATGCACCAAATGCAGACCAGCAGTTTCTTCGTCAATGACCAACCTTACCCATCACAGGTCTATGAGATTGAGCCATGGCCACAGGTGCGAGCCCACGGCACATGCATGCGTGTGGTGTTTCACCAATGTGCTTTAGGAGCTCAGTCGGGTGAGCCGCTATGCAAGAAGCCCACAGAGCTCACAAGCAACTCGCAAGTTATCCTCAACGAGTTCTCTCAGCTTGAATGCAACGGCCAGCATCAGCACACAATACCGAGTAGCGGCAACGCTCCGGTGGTTCGTTTGTGGCCCCGCACATTCTGTGATAAGTTGGCTAGAGGCATCGAAACCCAGGTGAGAAAGCTCAAATCTCCATCGCAGGAACTGCGAGCTTATCCGTCAGCTGCTGTTGGGCCCGACAATGAGCCAGACACGGCAGAGCCGGAGGATGGGAAGGAGCCATGGCGAAAATGTAAGGGTTGTCTTTGGAGATTGCATCGCAATGACCCGTTGCACACTAGACAGACTGGAGTGTGCAAGTATCCCACTGACAAGCCTTTGGTCTTTGACTGTCCCGGTTGCAAAGCCCGCAGAAATCGGTCAGATGAATCGCACACGTTCGGTCCCGACTGTCGGCATGTGTTGACTCCTCAGCGGCAGAAAGCCACGCAGCGCCGTCCATTTGCAAGGCGCCCGGCTCATCATGAGCCTACTGCAGGCCTGCGGGCATCCAGCCTCGGCCGTCAAGCAGAGCAGAATGCGGAGGAGATTGAAGCAGCAGAGCGACAGCGAAATGCTGCTGCAGAGCCAGCACGAGGTAGTCGTGATCCAGACCCGCGTG